ACTGTTGCCCCTGTACTGGTTGCTCAGGAGAGAGCAGTGTGGACTTGCTGGTACTTTAAATGAGAATGGGGGATGGATGGGCCATGCATGTCTGAGGTTATTGATACTTCTGGCAATCTTGATTCCAGCTTGTGCTTCATCCAGCCTTGGATTTTGCATGATGTACTCTGCATATAAGTTATAGTATGCAGTCTTGACGTACCTTTCAGATGTGTCCAGGAGAAATATCAACAACCTCAGATATGTAGATGACACCACCCTTATGGCAGAAAGCCAAGAGGAACTAAAGAGTCTCTTGATGAAAGTGAAAGAGGAGAGTGAAAAAGTTGGCTTAAAACTAAACATTCAAAAAATGAAGATCATGGCATCCAGTCCCATCACTTCATGGCAAATAGGTGGGGAAACAATGGAAACAATGACAGACTTTATTTTCTTGGGCTCCAAAATCACTGCAGATGGTGACTGTGGCCATGAAATTAAAAGATACTTGCTCCTTGGAGGAAAAGCTATGACCAACCTAGACAACATATTGAAAAGCAGAGACATTACTTTGCCAACAAAGGTCTGCACAGTCAAAGCTATGATTTTTCCAGTAGTCATGTATGGATGTGAGAGTTGGACCATAAAGAAAGCTAAGCACCAAAGAATTGATGCTTTTGAACTGTGGGGTTGGAGAAGATGCTTGAGAGTCCCTTGGACTGCAAGAAGATCAAACCAGTCAATCCTAAAGGAAATCAGTCATGAATATTCATTGGAAGGACTGATGCTGAAGCTGAAACTCCAAGGCTTTGGCTACCTGATGAGAAGAACTGACTCATTGGAAAAGACCCTGATGCTGGGAAAGATTGAAGGCAGGAGGAGAAGGGGATGACAGAGGATGAGATGGTTGGATGGCATCACCAACTCAATGGACATGAGTTTGAGCAAGCTCCTAGGGTTGGTGATGGACAGGGAAGCCTTGAGTGCTGCAGTCCATGTGGTTGAAAAGAGTCAGACATGACTGAGTGGCTGAACTGAATGGGGCCATTATGCTCTAAGATTCCATTCTTTCTGCTTTTGTCTTTAAGAGTAGGATGGGATGTATAGGGTTCAACCTACCTGGATTGAACCTCCCTTTTGCTTTTGGTTTCAGTCATATTAAGGTATAGATCATCTTTAAGTACTGCTCCTTTATCTGTGCCAGTTATCTTTCTCATCTTCCGGCAGAGAACCTAAGCTCTGGCTCCCTCTTCAATCTGATTCCATCTGCTGTCCTGTTAGTCCACTGGAAGTTTCTCTTCTTACTTCAGGTGATGCTCTGTATTTCTTATTTTTATATGGCATGAGAGACTGAAAACTATAGGATGCTTTGTTTACCACCTTGAAATGAGAAGCTACTCTATATTATTGTAATACTTTTGGGAAGTCTACTGAAGTTTTGTTTGTGGCTTAATATTTATTTTGTAAATAGTCTCTGGACAATTCACCACAAAAATATTTTCAGGGAATAATTTACTACGGATGCAAATAAACAGGTTTTAAGTTCTCCTTTTGTTTCTTTTGGAGTTTCTGCTTCAAAAATTTGATGTTCTCAGGACAACTTTTTGGGGGTGGTTAGTTGTTTTTTTTAAAAGTCTATTTGGCTGCTACGGGTCTTAGTTGCAGCACGTGGGATCTTAAGTTGCAGGATCTTTTTTATTTTCAGTTGTGGCACAGTGGCTCTTAGTTGCAGCATGCAGGATCTAGTTCCCAGACCAGGACTTGAACCCAGGCCCCTGGCACTGGGATTGTGGAGTGTTAACCACTGGACCACCAGGGAGGTCTCTATTTAGTCTTTTTAAATTCAACTTTTGTTACCATTCTATAATGGAATTGTTTTCTTTTTATAAATGAGTTTGTTCACTTATATTCACTGATCAAAAAGTATTTATTTTAGTTCTGTCATCTTTATGCTGCATGGTGTGTGTTTTTCTTTTTTGTGCACACATGTTTTCTGATTGAATTAGAATACTTAGAGTCTGGCTTTGGTTTTTCAAGTGTTTATTTTAATTAATAGTCTTAAACTTCAACTTATCAGCTTTAGAGGGTAGCCGTTGAGGACTTGCTAATGAAACTTACACATATGTTCTTCCTCCTCTCTACATCCCACTTTGAGTTACGTTATTTTTTCCAGAATGCTATGTTCTGACCCTATCCTTTCTATTTAAATGGACTGAACACTCACTGTTATTTCTCTTCCACCATGGTCGCTCCATTTCTGGGCTCCTTATTTTGGCTCATCTCTTTGTTTTATGATTATGCCCTTTTTAAACAAAAGCTCTTGGGTGCTTTATTCCTTTCATTTTTTAGAAAATTCCCATTTATGTTCTCATGCTTGAATGTCATCTTGGGTTAGTATAAAACTTTAGGGTACAGAATTTCTTTCTCTGAGAGACTTACAAATATTGCTTCATGATCTTTTCCAGTATTCATTTTTACTGTGGTGGTCTCTGAGGCAAGGCTGACATTTTTTCCCCTCTTACCTGGTGACTTACATTTTTTTTTTTTACTTTCATTTTTAAAAAGCTGAAAAAGTCCCCGAAATAATCTTTGAATTGTGTTAAATTCCCCACACATCTATTGGGCCAGTCATTATCATATGGTTGTGATTTCTGACCTTTCAGACTCAGGTCTTCTTTTATTTCAAAAAAGCTTTTCTATTATCTTTGAATTTTTTTTCTACTTCATTTGTTCTGTTGTCTAGTATGTGTAAGTTAGGTCCCTTTTGTTTTCCTCATATATACCTAAGTTTCTCTCTGATACTTTATTTTGTTCTTTTCTATTCTGTTTTATTTTAAGGCCTTTTTTCATATTCCTATTTTTTCTTTGATGGTCAATAATTATACACCCACAAAATGATTTTTTTTAATGGTTAAATGGGATTGCACTGTGTATATGTATGATAATTTTATTAATCTTATTACTTAGATTGTCTCTGGTTTTCACTGTTATAAACATCTGCACATGTTCTTAACGGTAGTGATATTGCTTCATAAAATCAGTAAACTTACCCCAGTTCCTAACTAATGAAGCTCATTGACAAAGAATTAAATCATGCCTGTGAATAGAGCTGCTCCTCTGGGTTCTGATGATGTTGTCATCTCCTGGTCCTTTTAGGCCTAGGGATGATATGGCTCCCCACCATTGCTAATTCTGGGTATCTGTGTCATTGCTTATTGGCTTCTCTAAAATCCTCCTATGTATTTGTAAGTTTGCTCTCTGTGTGTGTGTGTTCATGTGTGCTCAGTTGTGTCAGATTCTTTGCAACCCCATGGATTGTAGCTTGCCAGGCTCCTCTGTTCATGGAAGTTTCCAGGCAAGAATACTGGAGCAGGTTGCCATTTCCTACTCCAGGAGATCTTCCTGACCCAAGAATCGAACCCACATCTCTTGTGTTTCCTGTGCTAGCAGGCAGATTCTTTAACCACTGTCCCACCTGGGAAGCCCTATCTGTTAAGTACACCCTAGAAATTTATCCCAAATATGTATAAAATAACATGTATATAAGATTATTCACTGAAACCTTATATCTCTAATATTTCACTATTTTCACTATAATGTCTGTGAACAGAGGAATATAAGATAATGGTGTAACTATACAGTGGAATATTATGCAGTTATAAAAAACTTAGCACATTCACTGAATATATTTATGGAATAATTTCCAATTTATTGATTTGTTTTTCCTCCAATCTTCAGTTATTCTTTTATTAATTTTTTTATACACTCAGGGGTCCCCAGATATTTATGCTGCCTCATTTATACCTCAATGATCATTAAATACAAATAAAATACAAGTATTTTGTTCACCATGCTGTTCTCCCAAGCTTTGTTGTTACTGTTTTTAGATTTATTGAAGTTTGATACAAAAAACTGGACACACTTAGTGAATACATCTTGATGATTTTGGAATATGCAGATATCTGTCATATCATCACTACATTCAAGGCACTAAATATATCCATTACTTCCAGACATTTCCTTGTGTTCTTTTTTTTCTTTTGTAGGGACACTTAACATAAGATCTATCTTCTTAATATATGTTAAACTGCACAGCACCACATGTCAACTATAGATACTATGTTGTTCAGCAGGTCTCCAGAACTCATGTAACAGAAACTATCAAAAGTGTGGAAAAAGCTGGGAACCGAATAGTGAGTATGCCATCATATATGTAAGAGAAAAAAAGAAAGAAAAAAAAGTATATGTGTATTTGCTTTTATACACATATACATATGTGTAAAGAGAGAGTGTGAGAATGGGAGGGAACAGGATGGAGCATCCTTGGAAAAGCACATAAAGTGATAATAGTGGTTGCTTCTGGGGGGAACTGAGTAGCAGGAAACTTACTATTTATTCTTTAATTTTGAATATTAAATGACTATACTGCCTATTCAAAAAAGTATTACATTAATAATAAGAATTAATTGAGAGCCTTACAGAAACAGTGACTATAGAGGAACGCTAAAGAAATCACTAGAAGATGAGAACAGCCAACAAATTATAGATACTGAAATGTTCTAAGCAGTAAAAGTCTTGGACAATTTAATTTCTTACCATGGTCCCTTTGTAGAAGTTAACTTCTTATTCAGAGTTGAATGCACAAAACCATGTCTGATAAAGGTTTGTTTTGATGATCATAATATAGATCTTTATTATTTAAAAGAGCTTCAGTTCTCCTGTGTTTACAGGGTTTACTAACATCCCTAACAAAGTAGTATGACTGCACAGTGATCTCTGTTTTCAGTGGAAGGTACAACTTCATTAAAGGAAATGGCACATAAGAAGACTTTTTATAAAATCAGTGAAGGGAAGAGAAGACTGCTGGGGGAATATTCACTCAACTAAAATTGGGTTAAAATCACTTGTTTTTATGATATGGCAAAAATAGGAAAGGACTACTAGCTTGAGTTTTTTACAGGTGATCCTAATGTGGTTACCCCTGTTAAAAAAGTTCACAAGACACAGGGAAATTTACTCACCCTTCCTGGAACTGTGCTTGGGCAGACTCCTCTGCTACAAGGGTCTCATACTCTTCAGCAGCAAACCTGTCCCAGTCGGAAGGCTCAGGACTGTCATTCTCAACATCCTGATTGGGAAGGGGATGGCCACAGGAAACAGAATCAAAAACAAAAATTGGAGATAGGTCATCACAAATGTTTTACATCCTGAAAAAACCTATGTGAAAAATGTTTCATTTGACCCCACGGACTATACAGTTCACAGAATTCTCCAGGAAAGAATACTGGAATGGGTAGCCTTTCTCTTCTCCAGGGGATCTTCCCAACCCAGGGATTGAACCCAGGTCTCCCGTGTTGTAGGCGGGTTCTTTACCAGCTCAGCCACCAGGGAAGCCCAAGAATACTGGAGTGGGTAGCCTATCCCTTCTCCAGCGGATCTTCCCGACCTAGGAGTCGAATTGGGGTTTCCTGCATTGCTGGCTGATTCTTTACCAGCTAAGCCATCAGGGAAGCCCTGAACATGTTGAGAGAGGCACTAAAGGCACACTCCTAAACTGATTTTCTACACCCTGAGTCACAAAATTATTAAGCACTGTGCATCAGCTGGACTGTTTGGGTCTAGATTCTTCAGCCTTGTAATCAGAGGCTTCTCTAGCCCCTTCTCCCCTCACACTTGGCATAGCAGTGATCTGGAGTGACCTGTGGTTCACATTTGCCCACCTGAAATGTGGCTTCCCTGGTGGCTCAGATGGTGATGAATCTGTCTGCAATGCAGGCGACCTGGGTTCGACCTTTGGGTTGGGAAAATCCTCTGGAGAAGAAAATGGCAACCTACGCCGGTATTCTTTTTTTTTTTTTTAATTGAAGGATAATTGCTTTACAGAATTTTGTTGTTTTCTGTCAAACCTCAATTTGAATCAGCCATATATATACTGCTCCACTATTCTCGCCTGGAGAATTCCATGGACAGAGGCTACTGTCCATGGGGTCATAAGAGTCAGACAGGACTGAGTGACTTAAACTTAACCTGAAATATACCATCCCCTCCTCTAGCGAATTTTGATTGCTTCCTTCACAGCCAGCTCGGATACCCTGCCATCTGAGTTACCTTCTTAGAAACAGCCCTTCTCCCCCAGTCACTTCCTTCATTGTACTACGTATGCTTGGTTGCCAACTTTTGTTCTCCTGTCCTTGTCATCTCTATATACCCGTTCTTTTTATATACTGAGTTATCTCTATATAACCTCCAGTGTCTCTTCAACACAGTACCTGGAATTTACTAGGCACTTACTAATAGCATTCTTTGCAGATCAGAATGTTGATAATTACTACCTCTAAGAAAAAAGAGGAAAAATTTAAAGTAAATTTGTAATACAAATAAAAAAATGAAGGGGGGAAAAAGTATATATTTTCTTTTCCTTCTACAATACAGGCTGCATCTTAGATTATATGTTCTAGGTAAAATGATGTTTTTCCATAATGAAATTGGGTTAACATTGCTCTAGGATGTAAGGTTAGTTATGCTAGAACGTAAGTACCTTAATACTGACTACACAATGTGTTAATTACTATAATCCATTTGAAGAACTTCACCCCACCTTTTAAACATGTCTGAAATTGCTATGCATCTTAGATTTATAATTGCTTTTTCTTTAAAGGTATATAAAATAATGGGATATTTTAAACGCAATGAAATATAATACTGACTTTAGGCTAGTGATAATGTACCTTGATAGGCCCCAAGTTCTGGTGCAGAGTCTTTGTTTTTAGAAGCTGGTCCTTGTATTCTTGGCTATTAATATTTAGGTCAAACAGTTATGCAACATATGAAAGACAAAAGACTGAGGAAGTTTCCTGTAGTGTACTCAACCAGTTCTTTTCCATTAATATAGTTTTTACTCTTTAAACAGGGGAATAGAAGGAGAAGTGGTAATATTCATTCTGCTTTTTGTTTGTTTTTTTTCTGGACATGGGTTTTCTGAGAGTCCACAGGTTTTTGCATATGGGGAAGGCAGCTCACAGCTTTTCAGCTGTAGAATGACTTCAAACTGATGTCATGTATAGTCATCATTACCGCTTGAAAAAGTGTTACATCTATCTGAAGGTTGTCTATCTTGGAGAGCATCTAGTTTTCATTACCATGCCATCCCGAAATTGAATGGTACAGTTAAATCAAGCTCAGTGTACTCTGTAACAGAGATGTATCTATTGATATAGGTTTTTTTTTAATGAATAATAAGATGAACACACATTTATTGATTTGGAAAGTGAGAAAGACAATTATTTCAAAATTTTCTGTAACCAGTTTCTATGTATATGGAAGTACACAAAACACATAATTCATTCAATGAAAGGTAGATGCAGGTTATTACCTACATTTGAAGATTAGCTATGGGAAGAGATGGGCTCTAAGTCCTTTATTCTTTCTTTTCAGTATGTGATGAAATGTTTTAAATGTAAGCCTTTTTAAATACCAGAATTCCTGCAGACAGAGGCCACTTTTATCTGAAGCATACATCCCCTGATACTGCATCCCTCAAACAGAAGTTAAAACTATACTGGTACCTTCTGGACTGCAAAGGGATCTCTTTGTTCATGGTCTAAGTATTTCTCCAGATTAAAGAAAGTGTCATAAAAGATGTGAGCCATTCTGCATCTCTTCAGATCTCGTAGAGTTATTTTGCCTGTGTAAGAACAAATCTGGTAAATTTCAAAGGCTTTTTTCGAAGTGGGAAAAGAAAAAAACCTTCTACTGAAGTTTAAAAGGATATATGCATATGCTTATTTGATTATAAAAATTTGATTTTTGAGGTAAAGTTCACATAAAATTCACCATTTCAACCATTCTAATGGTTTTTCATACATTCACAATGTTGCATAAGCATCACCACTATCACATGCCCTAGCATTTTCTTCACCTCCGAAGGACACTCTGTACCCATCAGTCTCACTCCCCTCCCCTCTGCAATCCTCCCCAACTGGCTACCACTAATCTGCCTTCTGAATTTGCCATCGTTAGTTCTATGCTAACGCTAAAGCAGAAACTTAAATACTTCTGTATTTGGAGAGCCTGTGTGGAAGACTCTGGGAAGTTAAATAATTTGGAACAATCCAGGATTACAACCCCCACTCTGTAATGGAGATGAACAATGCAACTTGGCTCTTTATTCAATCTTACCATCACTGGCTGGCTTCACCAGGTCAAGCATCTGGCACAACAAATCATGGAATGGCAAGGGCTCAATGCCCATGGCTTCCATCCGTTCACACTGCTCCTCGTAGAAGTATTCCAGCTCGTACATGGAGAGCACTCCATCCCCATCCACATCCATACAGCGGAACCAGTACTCAATGCTAGGAGGTAAGGATACTCATTAGCAATGGCCTGTTAAACCTCTTTTATTCACTCAGATTTATTATTGTTTGTTTCTTTTAAAAGTTATATATGGGTATACTTTGGACTTAAGACATAGTTTTACAAAATTTATTAGAAAAAATGGCAGTCATTTTTAAAATTTTCTTTTCCTCAGATCCAAGCATTTTCAACACTTGATTATTTTGGTTTTTATCTTTACATTTCAGTTAAGATGTCTATATTGTTCCTTTCTTGTATTTCTGATTTAAAGACTGTGGTTTAATTTTGCACTATGAAAGATGAGGTTTCAGGTCTTTTGCTACTCATTCCACCTTACCCACATGCCCTTTATAACCTCTTAGCATAGATAAATTACTCAACATTCACAGTTTATAACTTTACATTTTCCTTTTATCTCTTTTGTTTAGTTTTGGGACACAGTACATGTTACTACCACTAATTCAAAGACTTCTGCTAGTTTTCTACGTCCATAATCAGTCCCATTGGGTATTCTATCAATTGCATTTCCTTGAAATCTTTTTCAGTTCCTCTGACCTATTCTAATCTGGACTGGTTGATCTCTAGGCCTGATTTATAGTTTCACCCTAGGGAATCCTTTCACCTTTCTCCTGTTTCTTATATCTCACATTTTCATCATTCTTGGTTTGCTTCCTTGTTTGGTAAAACACATTCTTCAGTAGCTTCCTAAAAAAGGGAGCATAGCAGGTACATTTTTTGGATGTTAGATCACTGAAAATACCCTTATCTACCCCCTAATGTGGTTGGTATATATAGAATTATGGCATGATGGTTCTTTTCTTCAGAATTTTAAAGGCCCTGATTCACTCTCCTCCATTTATCCACTGTTGTTGAGAAGTCTAAAGCCACTGATCCTTTGCAACCTCTTTTTTTTTCCCTCTTTGAAGCCTACAGAGGTTTCTGAGTTTCTGGTGTTTTAAAATAAAACTGATGAAGTGCCTTGGTCTGGATCGAATTCACTTTTGCTGGGCTCAGAGCCTCCTCAGTTTGGAAACTAGTATTCTTAAGTTCTTGGACATTTTCTTAAAATTGTTTTATTTCTTCTCTGCTTCTCTTTCTCATCATTCACTCTCTTTCTGGAATTCTTGTTATTCAAATCAGCATGGTCCAATATGGTGACCGCTAGCCATATGTGGATAACCCAATTTGAGATGTCTTTTAAAAAAAAAAATTTGTTTTCTGTTAATATTTATTTATTTGACTGTGCCAGATATTAGTTGCAGCATGTGGGATCTAGTTCCCTGACCAGGGACTGAACCCGGTCCTCCTGCATTGGGAATGCAGAATCTTAGCCCCTGAACCACCAGGAAAATCCCTGGGATGTCTTTAAGTGCAAATACAGATTTCGAAGACTGTAAGAAAAAAACAGTAAAACATCTTATCAATATTTTTATACTGATTACATGTTGGAAAAATATTTTAGATATATGGTATTAAATAAGAGATGTAAGTAAGATTAATCCTATGTTTCTTTTTACTTTCTTACTGTGGTTAATTTTATTTAAAAAATTTAAACACATTTAAAGTAAAAATTGTATGTATTTAAGATATATAACAAAATAATGTGATATAGACAGTGAAATAATTACTACAGTAAAGCTGCTTAACATAGCATCTCCCCACAATATTACTATTTTGCAGGATAGTAGGGATGTAGAGGACCTGAAATCTGCCCTCTTAAGTGAATTTTCAGCATTTAAAACAATATTATACTAAATGTATAGTCATCATATTGTACATTAGATCTCTATAGATTTATTCATCCTGTATAACTGCAACTTTGTACACTGGGTCAGCATCTCCTCTTTTCCCTCATACCCCCAGCCCCTGGTAACCACCATTCTACTTTCTGCTTCTATTAAGTCTGACTTTTTTTTGATTCCCATATAAGAGATCATGTATGACTTTCTGTGCCTGGCTTATTCCACTTAGTATAATATCCTCCAGGTTAATCCATGTTGCAAATGACAGGATTTCCTCCTTTTCGAAGGGTGAATAATATTCTATTGTGTGTGTATATATATATACCACATTTTATTTATCTATTTATTCTGTGAGAGGCATTTAGCTTGATTTCATATAATGTAATGAACAAGGGAGTTCAGGTATCTCTTCAAGGGACTGATTTCAGAGTTCTGGTTCAAGATGGTCAAATAGGAACTCTCTTTCTCCCACGGATGCATCTATATAGCTACAGATGGACCAGTTTCTTCTGAAAAAACCCTAAAAACTAGCTGAGTGACTTCTCCATTATTGGGAAAATGAGAAAAACTCGTATTTAGTGGATAGGAGATGCTGAGACACAATCTTGCTGTAAACCCCAGCACACTGACCCACAATTAGGAGGAAACTGGAAATCCAGAGCTTTTCCTCGAGGAGCAAAGAGTTTGAATCCCACGTTGTGAACCCAACTTTTAAGACCTGCAACTGAGACAAATACCCTCAAATCTAGCTTTTTCCCTTCCTTTAAAAAAACTGAAATATAGTTGACATGTAATATTATATTAGCAGACTTCCCTGATGGTTCAGATGGTAAAGCGTCTGCCTACAATGTGCGAGACCCAGGTTCAATCCCTGGGTCAGGAAGATCTCCTGGATAAGGAAATGGCAACCCACTCCAGTATTCTTGCCTGGAAAATCCCATGGATGGAGGAGACTGGTAGGCTACAGTCTATGGGGTCGTAAAGAGGCGGACAGTTAGTTTCAGGTGTACAACATAGTGATTTGACATTTGTACACATTATGAATTGGTCACCACAATAAGTCTAGTAACCATCTGTTACCAAAATTATTACTGTATTATTGACTATATTCTCTATGCTATACACTATATCCCTGTGCCTTATTTATTTTATACCTGGAAGTTTGTACCTCTTAATTCCCTTCATCTATTTCACCCAACCACCCGCTTACCCTCTCGTGACCTCTACTGTGTTCTCTCTATTGGTGTTTCTGTTTAGTCTGATTTTTAAATTCCACATATAAATGAAATCATATAGTATTTGTCTTTCTCTGTCAGACCTATTTCACTTAGCATAATACCCTTAGAGTCCATTCCTGTTGTTTCACATGTCAAGCTTTCATTCTTTTTTTATGGCCAAGTAAAATTCGACCATGTGTATGTGTGTATCACATCACCTTTATCCACTTATCTATTGATGAATACTTAGGTTACTTCCATATGTTGGGAATTGTGAATAATGCTGCAGTGAATGTTGCAGAGCATGTATCTTTTCAAAATAATATTTTTATTTTCTTTGGGTAAATACCCAGAAGTGAAATTACTCGATCATAGAGCAGTTCTATTTTTAATTTTTTGAGGAACGTCTACATTGTTCCATAGTGGTAGCACCAATTTACATTCTCGTAACAGTGCATAAGGGTCCCCTTTTCTCCATATCCTTGCCAACACTTGTCATTTGTTGTTTGTTTGATAACAGTCAATCTGAAAGGTGTGAGGATAGCTCATTGTGGTTTATATTTGCACTACACTGATGATTAGTGATGCTGAATACCATTTTATGCATCTGTTGGCCATCTCTACGTCTTTCTTGAAAAAGTGTGTGTTCAGGCTTTTTGCTCATTTTAAAATCAGGTTGGGATTTTTGATACTGAGCTATGTAAGTTTAAAAAAAAATATACTTTAGATATTAACCCCTTATCAGATATATCATCTACAAGTATTTCTTCCTATTCAGTAAACTGCCTTTATGTTTGTTGATGGTTTCCTTCGTTGCGCAAAACCTTTAAAATTGATGGACTCTTATTTATTTTTGTTTTTCCTGCCCTTGCCTGAGGAGACAGATTCAAAAAAAATACTGCTAAGCCTAATTTTAAAGAGTGTACAGCCTATGTTTTCTTCTAGGAGTTTTTTATGGTTTCAGATCTCACATTTAAGCCTTCAATCCTTTTTGAGTTTATATTTTGTATACGGCATTGTGAGTGATCCAGTTTCATTCTTTTGCGTGAAGCTGTCAAGTTTCCCAATATCATTTATTAAAGACACTGTCTTTTACCTATTGTATATTCTTGGCTCCACAGTTGTACATTCAGTTCAGTTCAGTTGCTCATTGGTGTATGACTCTGCGACCCCATGGACTGCAGCACGCCAGGCTTCCCTGTCCATCACCAACTCCTGGAGCTTGCTTAAACTCATGTGCAGTGAGTCAGTGATGCCATCCAACCATCTCACCCTCTGTCGTCCCTTCTCCTCCTGCCTTCAACCTTTCCCAGCATCAGGATCTTTTCCAATGAGTCAGTTCTTTGTATCAGGTGGCCAAAGTATTGGAGTTTCAGCTTCAGCATCAGTTCTTCCAATGAATATTCAGGACTGATTTCCTTTAGGATCGGCTGGCTGGATCTCCCTGCAGTCCGAGGGACTCTCAAGCATCTTCTCCAGCGTCACAGAAGTGTCAATTCTTTGGCACTCAGCATTCTTTACAGTCCAACTCTCACATACATACATGACTACTGAAAAAACCATAGCTTTAACTGCATGGACCTTTGTTGGCAAAGTAATGTCTCTGCTTTTTAATATACTGTCTAGGTTGGTCATAGCTTTTCTTCCAAGGAGCAAGCATCTGTTAATTTCATGGCTGCAGTCACCATCTGCAGTGATTTTGGAGCCCCCCCAAAATAAAGTCTGTCACTGTTTCCATTGTTTCCCCATCTATTTGCAATGAAAGGATGGGACCAGATGTCATGATCTTAGTTTTCTGAATGGTGAGTTTTAAGCCAACTTTTTCACTCTCCTCTTTCACTTTCATCAAGAGGCTCTTTAGTTCTTCTTCACTTACTGCCATAACGGTGGTGTAATCTGCCTATCTGAGGTTATTGATGTTTCTCCCAGCAATCTTGATGCCAGCTTGTGCTTCATCCAGCCCACCATTTCGCATGATGTACTCTGCATATAAGTTAAATAAGCAGGGTGACAATATACAGCCATGATGTACTCCTTTCC